CCCCCTCGTGCTTACGGAGGGGTGGGGCGGAGAAAACCCATTGGTGTTACCAAGTCTGTAATACTTAAACTGTATAATTTAGGCTGTAGCCATATATATATTTAAATATATATTTTTGTGTACTGGGTATACATAGAAGAAATTAACTTTTTTTGTGTTTTTTGTTTTTTTTATTTTTGTGTGTGCAACTGCAATGACACAGATAGAAGTCCATTTTGTTGAACCCAGAATGGAGGATTTTAATATACAAGATTCTATCTTATTTATACTATGGTATAAATACGTATATATATATGTGCACATGTGGGAGTCATGGATTTGTGTGTAATTATAACACTGCCTTACAAATGTAATAAGAGTTCTCGTATGCCGCCTTAATCACAGCCTGATAACTGCCTGCATCTTGAGACGCCGGGGGGGAGTTTTGTTCCCCTTCGAAAAAGCTGTTTTTGAAACGTCAATGCATTACACCCGTATAGATGATTCTGCAGTATGAAGCGTGGCCACCAGGTGTCACTGTGTGATGTAACGCACTGTGGGGTTAGGACTATGTGCTGGGTAAGGGACGACGCTCAGGGCTTGTGGTCTCCGTCATCGTTGGAGTGCTTCTGCATTAAAGTGCACCTGTGCCCAGACTATGGACATTTAAAACATTTACATATTGAAGCTGAACCTTTCCCCCCCCCCCCTTCTCTTGTAGCAAGTCGTCCTCTGAAACTGCAAACTTGCTTATACACGATATAACCCTTTGAAGCTGCAGCATCTATCTTCAGCCCACCTTCATTTCCTGTCTTCAGTCATGATCAATCTCTTCCCGATCCGTACTGTTACATCCACTCATTATATGCCCACATACGCATTATAGGACACATACGCATCCCCGGCATCCCTTTAGATGTGCATTCTCGAGCAACCAGTCAGCAAATTGCACAGCTAAAATCTGCAGCACGCAGTCGCCAGCTGGAAAGAGAAGGTGCGTCTCAAGAGATCCCTGGGATGTTCTCCTTTATATACAGAAGGTCCCAGACAGGGTACTGTAATGTATATAGGAGCCTGCTGGCCCCCCCTACTAAACACAGAGCAAAAAAAGGCCAGGCAGACCCAGCGATGATGTCACCGAGTCTCAAAATCGGTATTTCCTTAAAACAAAATGATTTAAATGAAAAGTTCTGATTGCATGTTGACCAAGGGGGAGGGGGGAATAAGGGGAGGTATTTTATGCCTACATTACGTCGTAGAAGAGCTTCAAAACGAGCCATCCATGACCTCTCTAGCTGCTTGTGCTGTTGAGTAATTCCTTCTCGCAATGCCTCTGTTGTGAATATTGAAGATGCATTTACCCATAACGCCTGCAGCTACAGAGGTGAATGGGGGCTTGTTTTACATTTTAGTTTTTGCTGCTTGTTTGGAATATATGTTAATTCTCTGGGAACAGGTTCACTTTAAACTCTAAGCACTGTATGTGAAATTGTTACATAACACCATCATTATCAAGGAGAAGCAAATCTTAGAACCTTCTTACCCCCTGACCTGCAATCTGTTACATGTGTGTCTACTACTGTGTTCATAGGCTAAAAATCAGGGGTAGCCAAACTTCAGCCCTCCAGCTGTGGTGGAACTACAAATCCCATGAGGCATTGCAGGATTCACACAGACATGGCTCCCAGAGAGATGCATCATGGGATTTGTAGTTTCACCCCAGCTGGAGGGCCGGAGTTTGGCTGCCCCTGCTATAAATGGCTCCTGCGATAGACTATTGCCTATATACAGCATGTCCCTCCCATGAGATATCTTGCACTCTGCTGCTCCTATGTGCAACACTGTTGTGCTTGGCTCTTGGCCGCGTGCTCCCGGATGCCACTCAGATTGTGTTTCTATGGAGGGATTGCATTGCCTCCCACTGCCATATGAGCACCGGGTGTCACGGGAGGTGGAGAGGTAGACCAGGCGAAGGACCTAGGGGAGGTGACCCTTGGACAAAATGTCCAAGGGGAATATTGGATTAAAACTTTGACACTTCATTTGATATCCACTCGTGACAGGTTCTCTAAGTTATCAGTAGCGATATTGTCATGCCGAAGTGGGGAGACCGCAAGCCCTTGCGTGCATCAGCCGGGAGACCGCAAGCCCGTGCGTGCATCAGCCGGGAGACCGCAAGCCCGTGCGTGCATCAGCCGGGAGACCGCAAGCCCGTGCGTGCATCAGCCGGGAGACCGCAAGCCCGTGCGTGCATCAGCCGGGAGACCGCAAGCCCGTGCGTGCATCAGCCGGGAGACCGCAAGCCCGTGCGTGCATCAGCCGGGAGACCGCAAGCCCGTGCGTGCATCAGCCGGGAGACCGCAAGCCCGTGCGTGCATCAGCCGGGAGACCGCAAGCCCGTGCGTGCATCAGCCGGGAGACCGCAAGCCCGTGCGTGCATCAGCCGGGAGACCGCAAGCCCGTGCGTGCATCAGCCGGGAGACCGCAAGCCCGTGCGTGCATCAGCCGGGAGACCGCAAGCCCGTGCGTGCATCAGCCGGGAGACCGCAAGCCCGTGCGTGCATCAGCCGGGAGACCGCAAGCCCGTGCGTGCATCAGCCGGGAGACCGCAAGCCCGTGCGTGCATCAGCCGGGAGACCGCAAGCCCGTGCGTGCATCAGCCGGGAGACCGCAAGCCCGTGCGTGCATCAGCCGGGAGACCGCAAGCCCGTGCGTGCATCAGCCGGGAGACCGCAAGCCCGTGCGTGCATCAGCCGGGAGACCGCAAGCCCGTGCGTGCATCAGCCGGGAGACCGCAAGCCCGTGCGTGCATCAGCCGGGAGACCGCAAGCCCGTGCGTGCATCAGCCGGGAGACCGCAAGCCCGTGCGTGCATCAGCCGGGAGACCGCAAGCCCGTGCGTGCATCAGCCGGGAGACCGCAAGCCCGTGCGTGCATCAGCCGGGAGACCGCAAGCCCGTGCGTGCATCAGCCGGGAGACCGCAAG